AATAGGGGAAAATCAGAAGAGACAGAGAACTATAGGAAGGGGTTGAGAGAAGCTCTGCTCCTTTCAAGGCGTAGATCTACCTCCTCACCTAACCCTAGATCCTCGCTTACATCTTAAGAGAGCCACTAAGCCATGTGGAAAAAGACTAGGAGTTATGGGCATGGACTGGAGTTCAATTTGGTCTTCATCCATTTGACATCGCTCCATTTCCCGCCAATAACTCAGGAAGATTCGGGCACACACCTGTCATCTGTTCAGGCACCTCCTCCAAGCAGAGCTGCTCTTCCCTTCCCTTGGCGCTAATGGGACTCTAGTGTCAGGTGACTTTCCAGGCCCCGGGTGGAGAGAGCAAGACACTGGGAGGGACTGACCAATGGCTCCGAATCTGAGGGGCTCACACCCCTCACTGAGAGAGTTCTTTATGCTCACCCTGAGCTTCTTCCCAACAAGCTCCACCCTCCAGGCAGGCATACCACGAGCTCTACACAGGGCTCCTGCTCCATCTACAACACCCCCGACAGGAGTGAAGAGTAAGTTCTGACCAGGCAGCTGTGCTCACCACCACCTCCTGCGCAGCAGGCTCCCTCCGTGAAGCCCTCCCAAGGCTGGTCGCATAAACCACCCTCCACGCTGCTGCCAGCCACAACCATTCTAAGATTACAACCTCTCCATGCTCATTCTCTCTCTCTCTTTCCCTTTCTCTTTCCCTCCCTCCTTCTCCCTCCTTTTTTTCTCTCTCTCTCTCACACACACATCCCTGCATTTCTGCTTAAATGCCTTTAGTTCAGAATTTCTTTTTGCTTTTGGAGGAAAGCTCAAACTTTACATGGCTTGCAAAGCCCTTCCTAACTTGGCCTCTCCCTTCAACACCCTCTCTCCACTCCAGCCCCTTGGAGCTTTCTTAGGTTCCTTGAGGAACTAAACTCTTTCTTGCCCCAGATCCTTGCATACGTCCTCGTCCTCATCCTCCTCCTCCTCTTCCTTCTCCTCCTCCTCCTTTACTCTGCAAAGAACTAGTTCTTACCATCCTTCAGTCACCACTTCAACACTGTCTCCCCAGAGAGGCCTTCTCTGACAAGCCCATCTAAATCAGGTTTCCCAAACACAAACCTACATGCAGTCATGATTCTGTGGCACAGCAACCTGTGGCTCCTAGCTGTGTGGCTCTTACTGAAATTTGCAATCACTCATTTCTTTGTTCACTGTTTTATTATCCAATTAAGATGCTATTATTTCCAAGATGGCAGAGGGGATGATTCATTCACCTAGCAACAGCACCATGCATATGGTAGATTCCCAAAATCATATTATCATAAGATATCATCATAACTCATACTCCTCTTGGAGCTTGCAGACAGACCAAATAGGAAATTATGCTGTATTTAGAGAACAGTGACAAAAAACGACAGCCTGAGTCAGGGGATTTGTATTGCAAAGTCCTGGAAATAAATGTGCATAGATGTGGTAGACAGGCTTACAGGGTAGCTCTTAAAAGCCCAGATGATAAGTCTGGGTTTGATCTGGCTCAGAGCCTGGGAGGAACACTGATACAAACTAGAGGGTATTGAGATTGACACTGAGTCAAGGCCGGCCACATGGAAGAGCAAAGGGCTCCAAGCCTGAATTGGAAAAGAATAAGGTAAGACAGGGTAATGTCTTCTCTGTCTAGGAGGAACCACCAGATCTGAAAGAAGGCAGATATTTGCTTGTTCCTGTGGGCAAAATTGGGTTCAACTGGTACAAGCTTTGCCCCATTACAAAAATAAACATGTTAATACCTCAAACTGTCCAATCATGAATCTGATTGCGGCATGAGGTAGTGAAGTGCTGGTGTCCTGAGGTGATAGGCAGGGAACAGACAAGACTGTTAGGGAGATCATTTCTGTATCCAGCAGGAGACTGGATTTTTCTGATCCCTTTCCATTGCAACACCCAAAGCTCTATGGAAAGCCATCCAAAGTTTTGAGCCAAGAGTAATGCAATTTTTTTTAACGTGTTGTAACAGAAATATCTGTGAAAGGCTTTGTAAACTAAGAAGTTTTCAGTACGAAATGACCCTGAGATATCAGAAGACCAGGATGGAGAATGATTACGCCAAATGAAATTTGATTTGACAAAAACAGTGTAAGAAAATAGCGTTTGCAAGATTTGTAACAGCTATCAAAGTCTCCAAGACAAGAACTTTATGACGAACATCTTTAATGTTAAGGAGATAAAGGCTTCTACCTCAGAGATTTTAGAACATATTTCAATAAGAATGACCCCTCACCTACACATTCTAAGTGGGATACTCAATGACAACCCTGCTCTAGATCAAAAACTTGTGCGATGTCTGATGTTTACATAGATTCCAACTAGCAGTTGAAGAGAATTCTGTGCTGGAAGTAATTAAAATAAGTCTCTCTTATGCCACATTTAAGTTTCTAAAGGAGCCTTAAGCAACCTCTGCTACATGTAGCATGGTTGATTTAAAAAGAAAAACACCTTACTTAAAAATGTCTAAGATGCCAGCTTCCCTTTTGACTTACCATCAACTGAGAGATTTTTACCTGTTAAGTCCTGGAGGACAAAGTTTCCACAAAGTCTAATAGTCGGGGGTTTCTGTTTGTTTGCTTTTGTTTGTTTGTCTGAGACGGAGTTTTGCTCTTGTTGCCCAGGCTAAAGTGCAATGATGCAATGGCGTCATCTCAGCTTACTGCAACTTCTGCCTCCCAGGTTCAAGTAATTCTTCTGCCTCAGCCTCCCAAGTAACTGGGATTACAGGCATGTGCCACCATGCCCAGCTCATTTTGTATTTTTAATACAGTCGGAGTTCCTCCATGTTGGTCAGGCTGGTCTCGAACTCCTAACCTCAGGTGATCTGCCCACCTCAGCCTCCCAAAGTGCTGGGATCACAGGCCTGAGCCAGCGGGCCCAGCATATAATAATAGCCAGCTCTTAAAGTGCCCAGCCCTGGGCAATTATCAATACATCTGTTCTATATTCTCCCTTTCTTTTCCTTCCCTTTTCTGTGCCTTTGTGACTAGAAAAAGGGTCTTTGGAGGAAAGATGTCACTTGGGAAACTCTGGGTGGTGATTCAAACATTGGCAAACATTCTAACTGTTTTTCTCAAGGGCAGCGGTGGTTATATTTCAGCTTGCCCTAGATACACATGCACACACCCATGTCAGCTGGTGCCTCCTCCATACACAGAGTGGAACTTGCACCTGTTGCCAGCTGATTTAATTCTCTTTTATCATTTAAAGAAAAAACAACAAACATGTTTTCCACCATTTTCAGTGAAAGGGGCTGTTTTGCTCTCTATAAGAGAAAGGGGTTGTAAGGGAGGGGGAATCCTCTACACAACTTCCTTTAGTCTGGCCATAACCAGGTCAGTCAAGCCAACAATCAATGGTAAATTCACATTTATGACGCGAACCAAAGCCATCATTCATGAAACTGTAACCTTGCCAGCGAAATACTGAAATACACGTTGACATCTTCAGACTGGAGAAAAACATCGTTGCATCTTTGCAGCTGTAAAGAAAGACTGGAAAATAAAAGGAAAGCCCAAGCATTTTTTGCATTTTCTTTTTGCATTTCATTCAGCAAAGATTTCTTTAAAAACTTAACAGAGGGCGATGCCGGATTTATTCTGTCTGCAGTATGGCCAGCCTTTAAGTACATGAAGCAATCCTATCTAAACAGTAGCACGAGGGCCTCCATTGTCTCAGGTAACCAGTTCGGAAACAGCAAGAGAGCTCTGGGTTAAGTATCAGAAAATATTCATAAGACACCATAACCACAGAAACAGAGTCCAGCTGAAACTCCGTGGCAAAGCCGATATGTAAATCACAGCTGGTGACTTCTGTTAAGAACTTTGGTTTGGGAGGTTTCACAGCTTCATCTCCAAAGCCCCGGTTCAAAACCACAATGTTCAGCAAGTCAGTGAGACTTCATGCTTTCATCTGAAACCCGGGCCAACAAACGCATCTCTTGATGCAATTCAGGATCTCAGAATCTCCACTAAAGAACCAAGCTAAACCATGGAACCCCATCTTGAAGCCTTGCTCTTACCCAGAGAAGCACAGTTGCCACTTAAAGGTTCGATAAAAGGAGAGGCAGGGAAATGCCTGCTGCAACAGCCCATTAGTAGCTACATTTAAACCCCTACCACAGTAACCAAATGCGAGTGAGGTTTCAAAAGGAAACCTACATGGTATGAAATGTAGCAATTGTTGGTCTATAAATACAGGAGATTACTGACTGTCAAGTACTTTCTCTAAAGGAGCAGTAGGGGGAATTCTTCCTGCAAAGGTAGGCTGCAAAATTTTTCACCTAGAAATAATTTAGAAACTGGCTGGGGCACAATCTCATAATGTCTCAAGTGCCAAAAGTTTCCGATGCCCCAGAAACAAAAGCGAGGTCGGTATCTCTCCGTCCTACCGATTCAAGCTTGGAAGTAAAAGGAGAATTTTGTTAAATCCCGGGATTAGTGAGGGATGCTAACCCCTGAACCAGGATTACTGACAGACAGAGAAAGAAAAGATAGGGGCGGAAAAAGGAACATTTTACAAAAGATTTCCGTTGTCAAGACCTTCAGACCCCGAGGTTGCAGGAAGGAGTAGGCGGCCGCGGTGCGCTGGCCCCTGTGCGTCCACCGTGGGAGGCGAGGCCGAGGCTGCCAGGAGGCGCTCCCGCACCCCAGGGCGCTCCTCCAAGGAGGCCGTGTCCCCACCCGCCTCCGCTGGCCCAGTTTTCGCTGTTTTCTCGGCGCACCGCGGCGCCTGGAGTTAGTAGGCAGTCCATCCCCCGCGCGGCCGCGAGTTAAGCTGCAGGCCTTTTTTCACGGCCTCAGGTGTGTGCCGTGAGCCCCACGGAGGATCGATCACAGGCCCAGCCGAGGGGACCGGGAGCCAGGTGTGTGCGCCCGCCCAGCGCCCCCGCGCCCCCCCCCCCCGGAGAGGCCCCGCTCCCCCACACCCCCAGGCTGGCAGCCAGGCCGGAATCAGGGCCCTACCTCGGAGCTCCCCCGTTTAAGAGAAGGCGTCCAGGGGGCGGAGCCAGCTGAAAAGCGGGCCGAGACATTCACCTGTGGTTAGGCAAAGACACCAGAGGCACGATTAATTCCTCAGGTGCCCCAGATCACAACAGAGCTCGGTAAGGAGGAACAGCTTGACAGAGAGAGAAAAGGGGACAGGAGTTGATGAGGGAGGATGTCTGCAGAGCCTGGGGTTGGGGGATTGGGTTCCAACCAGGGAAGGTAATTCTGCAAAATTGGAACGCACAGGCCTGACTGTAGGCAAGTCTGATAAAGGGCACAATCCAGGAAATGGAATCGAGATGCGTCCCCTGCCTCTCAGCCTACTGACCCACTTTCCTCGGCTCCGTCTCCCCCAGAACCATGCCCCTCCCGAAATCTTCCTGCTAGCCCAGAGGGAGGAAGGATGAGGCCTGGGGATCACGATGTAGGTGAAACGAGCAGCCTGGGTCTATTTGACAGTTGAGAAGCACAGAAGCCTCTCTCTCTTCCCCCAAAAAAATCCTTTCTGAGCCCCACTTCGCTCAGTCCCACCGTACATACACAATGCACCTAAAGAGACCTCCTCCAACTCCCTGTCAAGGAGCCTGAAATTCTACTCATAGTTGCTCATTTTGTTTGAAACACAGAAAACATCTGCACCTGATAAAAGATGTTAGCGTGCCATTCTCAAAAAGAGAAGCCTTTGATCCATTCTTCGGTGTTAAAGTTGCGGCATGAAGTATTTTCCCAGATTGCAGTGTGTTATCTGAATGGAGCAAAGGTTCCGTAAGTGAAGGGAATATTGAAGTTCTAGAGTGTGCAATCCTGTCCAGCTGAAGTACCGCAGGAAGAGGAAGCACACACACCTGTGCACACACATACACACTCATACATGCAAATCCTCCAAGACTGAGCCTCAAAAGGACCTTATTCAATTGCCAGAAGCACCATGTGACAACCATACTTTGTTATGTCCATAAAGTGACTGGAAAGAAACACAAGTCACAGGATCCTTGGCTGGCATGGCTGCCCCTGCCCTCCAAGTGCCTGTCGGAGCAGGGAGTTGCAATGGTACCAGCATGGGCTTTGCATTAAGTATATTTAGGTTTGAATCCTAATTCTCGCACCTTCGGACACAACTGCCTGAATTCAAGTTCTGGCTCTTGCTCTCAGAAGCTATGTGATCTTGGACAGATGACCTGGCTTCCCCGCCTCTCTGTTTCCTCTTCTGCAGTGAGTGTAATAACCTCAGACAATCCATGCAAAGCACTTAGTGTGGTGCCCGCCACGTGCTCAATAAAAACGAACTGTCATCACTACTATTAACTGTTCGATTTGGGGTAATTTTCCTGCTTTCAGCATCACATTCCTCATCTGTAACACGGAGATGATTCTATCTGCTTTCACAGAAATGTGCAGGTTGAAGGAAATATTACAGAGGAGAGTTAGGAAGCACTCAACAGATGACAGTAGTGATGGTGATTAGGAGGATGAGGATGAGGATGATTTTGATGTTAAATATGTTCAAGCCAAGTCAGGATATTCACAAGCACCAGCCCAAGCTCGCTGGTTAACAGGGAAGGTAAGCACCCATTCACCCCTCCCTATCCCTGGATGGTGACAATATTTGTCTCATCAGGTGGATTCTCTTTGCCCAAATCAGTTTTAAGCAATTAGGTCTGAAACTACACAGGACATAACCCAAACTCAGGGAATCTCAGCTATTCAATTGTTGCTTTCCTTTTTCCCTTTTCTCTGAGCTCTGATGTAAGGTGGTGTCTCAGCGAGTTGACTCATCTGCCCGTATTTGTTCATTATAGCTGTTGCTAGGAAGTTATTATGTAAATGGCCCTGCTCCTCAATCTCCATTATGCTTTCTTGTTATTGTGAGATGGAATTAAGTGCTAGCCCTGTACTGAGTTTTTATTAGAGTCTTTTTATACTTTCTTATTTTTCTCTCCTCCTTTATCAGTTCCTTTAGAAGTTAATCCTTCTACAATTCAAGGACTTCAGAGAAGATGCAGAAATTCTTGAGCATCTTGGTGGAGAAGGGGGCTGAATTTCAAAGTGGGTTGAGCCTCTTCTTCTTCACTGTGTCAATATTTAGTACCTGGCTTTTTTAATTTTCAAAAATCAAATTTAAAACATCACCATGCTCCTATAAGCTTCACTGCTTATAATAATCAAAGAACAGGTTTCAACTTGATACATGGATAGTGTAGCGGTGTGCCACATTCATTACCATTTCTTCTATTGGGTTAGGTAACCGAGTCTAATGAAAGATAAAAAGCTTCAAGATAAAAGGAAAAAACAAACACTAGTACTAAAAAGTAAACAATAAATTAAATAACTAGCACAAAACCAATTTGGAAATATAGGACTAGGATGTTGCTTTATTTTCTGCCACACTGCAAAAGATATTTGTTACATGTTCCAAAGTGCAGAATCAGTGTAATTTTCACTCCCTCAAGGCATACCACACATGTATGAAGATTTCAAAACCAGCCCAGCAGGCTTTCCAACAAATGGAAAGTGAGGTTGCACATTTCATTTCAGATACCTGTTTCTAAATCATTGATTTTTGTAGAAATGTCACACTGTACTGAAGAGAAGTCTCTCAATAAGCACATAGCCAACTTCCCAGAAAATGCCAACGTTTTTAGTTAAGACAGAAAGCTTCAGAAAAGCCCATGAAATTCAACTCACTCTCCCACCTTATGCACACAATATCCAGTGACTTCAATTACACACCAGCCTTCATCCCTGCACTTCAGGGAAAGTTTTAAGCCTAAAACAAGCAGTGAATTGGCCCTACCCCTGCTGAAAATTTGGGGGAAGAACAGTGGGAATCAACTACTTACTCTTTGGTTTCAATACACAGAGGAAAAAGGGTTAGACTTATTGCTCAAGGTAACAAGGCCGAAGCTGTAAGGGGTAAGAAGACTGCAGGTTTACACCTGTAGTTTTATTTTTCACGATGCTTTAACCTTCAAGCCAAGTCTTCAAAGACTAGAACCAGCACTCTAAGAGTAGAATACATGTTCAGATTCAGTGTCCCCATCAAAACTGTGGACATCTAATTTAAAAGAAGAGATGAGGGCTGGGGAAAAAAATGAATAGTGGAAACAAGAGTAAGAAATTCTAGATAAATGTTGAATCTGAGTGAAGTGTCTATGAAGGTTCATTATTACTATTTTCACTGTTAAAACTTTTGTGTGTGTTTGAGAATTTTTACAATGAAATATTTCATGGAGTCCCTTTTACTCACAAAAGATTGGGACTAACTAGAGCAGAGGGAAGAACAATGACCCAGGCATTTATCTAGAGGAGGGAGGCAAGAATAGTTCCATCGAAGAGTGCTCACACTTTGCCGAGGCTCTTGGGCATCAGCAAAAGATGTCTGATATTCTTTGGTTAAGAGGGCCATCCTTCACAAGAATCATGTTGGTGGATTATGACTTCTCCCCACTGAAGGCTGAGCTCAATGTGCTTATTAGCCTACTGTCGCTTTTAGAAAAAAAATGGGGAGAAGACCACTGACTATAGCTAACTGTACAGCACAAAGCTTGATGTGTGGTAAATAAAACAGGCAACAGGGGTGGAGACAGACAGTAACTTCATAAATGCACTGACATGCTAGACGTGCTATGTTAGATAGAATAGTGGGATACAGACAAGAGGGGAATCAGAAAAAGTTCCCTGAAGGAGGTGAATCTCAGCAGCTTGCTGAGCAGACCCCTGTACCTGTCCACAATACCCAGTACATTGAAGGTAGTCAGTAATACCCAGTACATTGTAGGTAGTCAGTAATACCCAGTACATTGAAGGTAGTCAGTAATACCCAGTACATTGAAGGTAGTCAGTACGTACTTACTGAATGTTATGGAATACCCAGTACATTGTAGGTAGTCAGTAATACCCAGTACATTGAAGGTAGTCAGTAATACCCAGTACATTGTAGGTAGTCAGTAATACCCAGTACATTGAAGGTAGTCAGTACGTACTTACTGAATGTTATCGAATACCCAGTACATTGTAGGTAGTCAGTAATACCCAGTACATTGTAGGTAGTCAGTACGTACTTCCTGAATGTTATCAAATACCCAGTACATTGTAGGTAGTCAGTAATACCCAGTACATTGTAGGTAGTCAGTAATACCCAGTACATTGAAGGTAGTCAGTACGTACTTACTGAATGTTATGGAATACCCAGTACATTGTAGGTAGTCAGTAATACCCAGTACATTGAAGGTAGTCAGTAATACCCAGTACATTGTAGGTAGTCAGTAATACCCAGTACATTGAAGGTAGTCAGTACGTACTTACTGAATGTTATCAAATACCCAGTACATTGTAGGTAGTCAGTAATACCCAGTACATTGTAGGTAGTCAGTACGTACTTCCTGAATGTTATCGAATACCCAGTATATTGAAGGTAGTCAGTAATACCCAGTACATTGTAGGTAGTCAGTAATACCCAGTACATTGTAGGTAGTCAGTAATACCCAGTACATTGTAGGTAGTCAATAATACCCAGTACATTGTAGGTAGTCAGTACGTACTTCCTGAATGTTATCGAATACCCAGTACATTGTAGGTAGTCAGTAATACCCAGTACATTGTAGGTAGTCAGTACGTACTTCCTGAATGTTATCAAATACCCAGTACATTGTAGGTAGTCAGTACGTACTTCCTGAATGTTATCGAATACCCAGTACATTGTAGGTAGTCAGTAATACCCAGTACATTGAAGGTAGTCAGTACGTACTTCCTGAATGTTATCAAATACCCAGTACATTGTAGGTAGTCAGTAATACCCAGTACATTGTAGGTAGTCAGTACGTACTTCCTGAATGTTATCAAATACCCAGTACATTGTAGGTAGTCAGTAATACCCAGTACATTGTAGGTAGTCAGTACGTACTTCCTGAATGTTATCGAATACCCAGTACATTGTAGGTAGTCAGTAATACCCAGTACATTGAAGGTAGTCAGTACGTACTTCCTGAATGTTATCAAATACCCAGTACATTGTAGGTAGTCAGTAATACCCAGTACATTGTAGGTAGTCAGTAAGTCCTTACTGAATGTTATTGAACACTCTCACCACCCCTTCCTCAAAACTTGTCCATTGCTCAACTCTAGATACAAAATGAAATATAAATTCTTCAGCCAGTCACTCAGGACCCTTCATAGCCAGACAACATCCTCCTTTCCAATCTATCCAGACTTAATCTCCTGCAATCCCATCTGATACAGTCTGGCTTTGTAT